CAACCGATTTCATGACTATAGCTATTGACGTAAATTGTGAAGTACACTACTTTTCGTTAAATTTTCTTCCATTCTGCAATACAGTACAGAAAACAAACAACTCACCTCTGAAAGAAGCTTCAAAAGGTTTTCGGACGATGGTTGAATGATTACTCATTTGCCTGTGATTAACTTCTTCAGAGGCAGGTAAATTTCCATTTATTGAGCCGCTATACGGAAAACTTTGCATACCGTTGACAGAGACTCGCCTCAGAACGTCAGCCAATTCCATCTGCTTCAAAACCACCGTTCCATTGCCAGCTTCACGCTCTACGTTTGTTCGACCAAGACCAAAATATTCGTTCCAGTAATGACTCTGATTGATTAAATCGTTTACTAAACAAACAGATTCACTTTATGATGAATGGAAGACTCGATAGTAATCTAATTAAACCGTAAGAATTGCTAACCGAGAACCCGCCAGAGGCCAGGTCGATCGAAGGTTGCACGATGTCTTGCCAGGCCAATCTGCCATACCAACGATGAAATTCCCAGATGCCATACAGATGATCTGGTGATGCAAGAGATGAAAGCTAAAACGCCGCGTGAAAACAGAAATCTGAGGATCTGTTTCTCACCTTCGCCTCGTTGCCACCAAGAAGACTTGCCAAACTGTTTCCGTATATCGGCGTAAAGTTAACAGAAACCGAAATGCCGCTGACATGGTCGTGTACCAGCATTACTCCACCACTAAAAGAAAACAGTTCTTGTATAAGTACTGGGAAGATATGCAACTTTACGTTTGACAGCTAAAATCATTAGAAAATACATAATTTACGGAGGAAACATAAGTGACAAGTTTCTATTAATGAAACTTAAAAGAACGATTATATAACGCTGCAATACGCGACTCTTCAATAAAAATTAAACAGCATGCGGTGTGTGGGGGGGGGCATCAAATAAATGTAAATCATTCCATTTCGAGTGCTTACCTTCCGATTCCGCTTATTTCTGGACTGATTACTCCCAAACAAAACATGACACAGAGAGCAGCATCCACAGCG